GCACCTGCTTTCGCCTTCGGGGAGGCGTTCCAAGCCCCTCGCCAGTAACCCCACTGCCGCGAGGAAGCAGAGGAAGAAGCCGCGCCTTCGGAGTGCTGCCATGCCTTTTTTCCACCCATCACCCGCGGGTCGAACACCGAAGAGTAACGTGGCCGCGTATGGTGGGCCTCCAGCAAAGCCACGTCTTTGTATCGCACCGGTAGTCCTTGCTCTCGCCGTTGGCGAACCAAACGCCTCTTTTTTGCCCTACGACCACGGCAGTGTCGGTGCCAGGCGGGGCTGCGGCAGAGTTTCCCTATGGCAGCAAGGACAAAAGGGGCAACGTGCGCACACGCGCACTGGGGCGGTCAGCTATCCTCCTGCGAGGTCGTTCTGAGCCCTCCCAACATAGTATAGGTAATTATTTAGGCCCCGACATCAGAGGACTTAATAATTAGAACAGGGTTTGGGGTCTATTACACTGTACAACTAATACTTGGAGGATCATGGGACTTAGTAGCTAGGGTTATAAATACGGTAGCTAGACTTATAATTACTTATCGCCCCAATTAGGGTACTTATAACCTTACTTGCTAAGTCCCCTGATCCTCCAAGTAAGGTTCACACTCTGAGGCTCCTCCTGGTTGTGGTGTGAGTTTTCTGGCTTCTTTTGGAGTACAGTAGAGGCCTCAATAGTTAGAATAGGGTTTTGGGGCCATGATAGATAGTAGGTCCATCATAAGGAACCCTAGGGACTAATAGTGGTAATCATTTAGGCTTCTATATTATGCTTTCCATTCTTACCCTCTAGGCAAATGGAGTTCAGGTCTTAGGGTGCAAGACGCAGGGTTTAGGCAGGCTTTCCGGAATCTAAAAGAGAAACCTAAGTAATAACCTTTACTATTCCTTAGGGGTCCTTTTTATCATCATGGTATTATGGGCCCCCAAAACCCTAGTCCAAGGATTTATTGCTTCTACATTACAGGCTTCCATTCGGGAGTCTGGGGTCTAGCAGGCCCGGATATCAGTGCTTGCGGTGCTAGGATTAGAGATTACCCATAGGCCCCACAGTAGTTCCTTTTCGGGGCTCATATTTAGCATCCTATAAGGTACTCCCAAAAAGGAGCTGCTATAGGGCCTATGGGTAGAGGCTCCAAAGTACTTATAAGTCTAGTTACCGTACTTATAACCCTAGTTACTAAGTCCCATGAACCTCTAAGTAATCTGTGACCCATGATATCAAGGAATTCCTGCATGGTCTCCCAAAATACAACCGGATCCTTGTCGTTGGTTTCAAGGACGTTGCGTTGTTGTTTTCATGGGGGGTGGAGTGGCGTGGTGTTTGTTTATCGCCAGCAAACACGCCAGAACCTACGAAACGATTCAGTAAACGGCCTGCTTTCTCGAGAAGAAATACAGCGCCTGCGCAGACAGAAAAACCGGTTTGGGGTGGAGGATTAGTGTTTCTAACAAAGGAAAATTGAGCCCCTTCCTTGCCTGAGGTCTTCCGGGGAATGCCACCCGACTAAATTGAAATGTGGGCACCAAGGAAGGCATCCGAATCATTGGTGATGATAGCCCTCTCATGGTCCACACATAATCGTACACTTACTAGAATGTACCCCAACATCCTATTCTTGTTATTCAGGCCATATTTATTTCAGCAGCACCGATCAGAATGCATGAAGTCCCGAACCCTAAACCCTAAACCCTAAACCCTAAACCCTAAACCCTAAACCCTAAACCCTAAGCCGTGTGCCAGGTCGCCCGGAAGTTTCGGCACAAAGCACGGCACTCGCTGTCCAGTGGCGGCGACGACGAGGTGGAGGAGCTGAGAGAGAGGGCTTAGGGTTTAGGGTTTAGGGTTTGAGAGGGCGAGGGAGGGGGGAGGGAAAGGAGAGCCGGAGAGAGAGAGAGAGAGACAGCACGCACAAAATGTCACCTGGTCGAAACGCCTGAACAATCTAATACAACTTCTTAGGCTCGTCAGTGTGATTTCAGCATGTAACCCCTTTCGAACTCTCGTCGTACATTGCGCCAGAATCTCGCCTCATGGAGGCCCGCTGTCTGCTCCTTAAATCCCAAAGCACTATCTATACTAGGAGGGTCAGGGGACTTAGTAAGTAAGGTTACAAGTACCCTAATTCGGGTTATAAGTAATGAGTCTAGTTACCTTGTTTATAACCCTAGTTACTAGGTCCCATGACCCTCCAAGTATCTTTCGGCCTAGACCCAAGACCCTAAAGCAAATGGCTTCGAAGCCCTTACAGCACCTTTCGCAAGACCTCCATTGCTCCCGAAGACCTCAAGTTGCCTGTATTTCCTCATCCAGGCACCTAAATCGGGGTTTCCAAAAATAAGGGACCCTAATATATTACCCTAACTAGTAGGATCCCTATTATATAAGGGCTCCAAAATAAGGTACCCCTTATTGGTCGGAAACTCCCATACTTAGAGGTTCATGGGACTTAGTAACTAGGGTTATCAATAAGGTAACTAGAGTTTTAATTACTTAACCCCAATTAGGGTACTTGTACCCTTAATTGTCGCCCAAGCCCCTGAACTGTTGGTCTGGCGAGCGTGCACCGGGCTTTAGGCGTTAGAGTTGAGGCTTTCTGTCACAGTTTGGGGCTTAGGGCTGGGGGTTTAGGGTTTAGGGTTGAGGGTTTAGGGTTTCGAGGTTGAGGGTTTAGGGTTTA